AGCGTCAAATGGACCGCAGCCTATTATATCCGCATTAATGTAAAATGGCTGTATACTATATGTGGTAAGCCAATAAACCAATTATCTATTTAGAGTTCTTAGGTTTGTTCGCGTCGTATGCTCCAGCATGCTCCAACGTGCTCCTGCTATAGCTCCTATTCACTTCAACGAGCTCGTTATGCCTCCGGCACACCAGCGCGATGTTTGTCGCGCGCGAAACGCGATATCCAATGAGCGTACAGCTTTATCGACTTTCATTCTAAAGGTATACTCTCATTGAATATCGTGTGCCACGCGTGACGAACATCGCGCTGGAGTGCCGGAGCCATTAGAATGATTATAATGGTACGTTTCCACTGAGCGCGTTACGCGTCGCGTTGTCCATCGCGTCACGACGCGGGTCCAATTGGACACGGCTCAATTGGACACGAGCCACTCACAGCGCTTGAGACTACAAAGCTCCTAAGCACCGGTCGCTGTGATTGGTGGTGTCCAATCGAGCCGTGGTCAATCGGGATCACCCCCACGACGCGACGCGTGATGCGCTCAGTGGAAATGGGTCCTGCGGGGTCCTTTAAAAATCAGCTTTACAGATATACTTTCGTTCGATTATTATTATGCTTTCCCGCGCTTTGTATATTCAAACTAAACGCTTCAGTTAAACTACCTCTCCAAGCAGTAGTATTGGAAGCAATTGGAAATAAGGTGGAAGTGGAAACCTGTGATGTATTAATGACGTCATACGTGCTGTTGGGACACATTTGAAGCGCCATGTGAACCGCACCCTTAGGGTGAAATCACACGGTGCGTCATAGGGCTGCGGAATACGGAATGCGTCATTGAAGCAACCAATCAGCGCTATTCCGCACTTTTCTGACACGCAAGTTTTGTGTGCTATGTTCACATGATGCGTCAAAGATGCATCCAGGATGAATAAATTTAGAAATTTCTAACTTTATGTTAATAATTTGCTTATTAAAATAAAATATAATTTCTCAAATTGTAAAAACAATTATTACTGTTGTGGTATTTAATATTTTACAATTAATATTTACAATCTCAAAACAATGTTTTGATCAGCTGTAAAGAATTTACTATCATTTTTCCGCAGCGCGTGAACAGGGCACGCCGAAATCGCACGTAATGCGTCATGCGTCATTGTTCTTGATGTCTTGATCTTGAGTATACTTGCGCAAATTGGATGCAATTAAGCTATCATACAGTGAGTAATTTTTTATCATCATGAATAATAAAATAATAATGATAATTGAAGCTATTAAGCACTTAGTAAAAATATTCATGAAAACTCCAATGATGCACTATCGAAAGGAGAAAATAAGGTTAACTTTGAAAAACATAACGTATTCTCTATTCCGGATTATTCCGGATCATCTAAGTGCGGAATAGCGCTGATTGGTTGCTTCAATGGCGCATTCCGTATTCTGCAGCCCTATGACGCACCGTGTGATTTCACCCTTAGAACCGGATTGATTGAAAACGATGTATTAAAGGATCGGAGCTGAATGAATCGATCTATTGAAGATCGATTCAATTAAAATTTTTTTGTGACACACATCTTACGAGAAATGTCAATGGAATAGATGTCGAATCGATGACAATTTGATGATTTCTTACTGGGATTGTAGAAAGTCAACAAAAGCAATTAAAACATGATTTTGATTTGCCTCCGAGTAAAATAATTTTAATTTAAAATAAAAATCTAGGTTTAATCTAACATCTGTAGTTATGATATAAATCAATTATACCAACATAAAATCGGTATAATATCGTATTATATATATAAATTCAATTTGATGACAACTATCAGTGTCAATTGGTATAAATTAGAATTTAACTAGCATTTATTTATACATTTTGTCAGTAGTAATTACTAGTTGTACAGATATTATTGAACCCGATTAAGGCCCGTTTCTACCAACGCAGTTTAAAGAGTTAATTCCTAGTGACGTTTGATTAACCAAAATTTAGCAAAATATTGGTTTCTACTAACTTTTTTCTTTAGTTTAAATGTATATAAACTGAGTTTAAATTGAACGGTCAATTTTGGCCGTTTAGAGGAAGTTGAACTGCGGTTAAGAAATAATACTAGTGTCAAACATCCCAGATAGACAAGCGTGCGATACCCGCACAAGATACCGCTACCGTACTGTTACTGTACTGCCACGAGGTGGCGGTGTACGGCGTAACTGTACGGTAGCAGTACAAAAAGTGTACGTGATATTAGTACAGCGTATCAACACTGTACCTGTACTGCGTACTATTTAGGTACGTCATGGTACATAACCCCTACCATATCAATACGGTGTACCATCATAATTTTATGTGTACTCTAGAATAAGATAATTAATCAATAATAATACTCATTTTAGCAATAAAACTATAAAATTAATTAATTTTAATAACATGCGTACCTAAGACGTACATTATCGGTACGGCGTACTAAAAATACGGTGTACCGGTACTGTACCCTTTAGGTACGCACGTACCTGACAGGTACGGTATCGGCACGCATAGTACGCCGTACGCTCACCGTACTAATACCGTGGAGGTATTTGTCTATCTGGGTAAGGATGAAAAGCGCGGATCAACTGTCGGTAACTGTACGCGTGACGCGCTCAGTGGATAACGTACCCATAGCATACAGTTACCGAAATTTGTTTTGCGCTTTTCATTCTTCGACGATGTTATGTGTTACTGGATTTTTTTAGTATTCACGAGAACTGTAGTGCACATGCGCTAAAAAGGCGGCAAACTTAAGGGTGCATACCCTTAGGGTGCCATTACATGGAGCGTGGAAACGCGGAAACGCGAAAGAAAAAGTAACTAGATTCCACGGTTCCGTCGTTTCTCCCCGCGTGTTTAAGCGGAAAAGCAGAATCCGTTTTTTTAATGTTATATATATATATATACATACATACATATGATCACGAGAGATCGCTTTGTTGCACGATTTTGCAATGGACGGTCCTGTAAGTATTTGAATAATTTTCAGAACCTAGTGAATATAAGAGCTCTGTTATTTTTGCAGAAAGGTTTTTGTAATTTCTATAT